TAATTGTAAGTGTACTGATGTAGATGAGGGCCACATACAGCACTTTTTAATTGCAGCTCATTTTAATGGTGATTGTGTTGAGAGTTCAGTATGTAATTTCTATCCTACTCTCTATGGAAAACGAATGATTTCAGAAAGCTTCCAGCGGAGACAAAAAAGAAGAGACATTAACATGATATATAATTAAAAGTGATCCTGATGAATGGTTAAAGGAAAAGGACAACCGAACAAAAGGCAGACTCTTCTAGTATGCAGCACATCAGTGCATTCAGTTGTGATGACTGAAACTTTTGCGGTTTAACTGCACTGTTCTAGTGTGCAATTACAGTAGACCGTAGCAGAACACTTATCTCTTTTCCTGCAGAACTTTTATTGTTCGTAATCAAATTTTCATGAAGCCCCATAAGAGAATTCAAACTGCTGTTGTACATACAGAAGCCTTATATTGAAGCTATGACACAGTTGGCATTTCGGCTCATTTAAATTGTCGATTTTGCGTTCAAATGAATACTGAGATAAGACCTTGATGGGATTGGTGCCTTTTTTTTAACTTGACTAATTTGATTTGTCAGAATCAACTATTACAGTTATTATTTTGGTAGATTGGAAGTGAATTTTGATTAGAAGTTGATATATTGTGGTAAATGGCAAAAATCTCCGGATGTATGAAACTAAAAGTTGGAGCTAAAAGTGTTCCAACAACTTTGCCATGAGTAATCAACTTTGAGTTCTGCTCACTGGAGAGAAAGATTATCATTTAATAGCGACTTAAATTTTGGTCTGTAGCCCAAAGCTGATATTAAAAGGCATAGAATTTAGTACACAAATGGTGAATAAATGATGATAGAATTCACTCTTTTAGTTGAAGTTGGACTGCTGGGCTGTTCTTTCAATTAAAAAAAATCTTATATTCAGACATTAGCACATATTGTCTGACGTCAATATTTTCCGTTTAATTTTGAAATTGCATGTTTGAAATTACTTGTTCAGACCATATTGTATATATTATTTGAATGTTGTTATGGTTATGACTAAATACAATTTACATGTTCTTCAGACTTGCGCAAGCAGATGGAAAGTGCAGAACTGAAGAACCAGCGCTTGAAGGAAGTGTTCCAGAAGAAGATTCAAGAGTTCCGTACTGCGTGTTACGTTCTCACCGGGTACCAGATCGACATCACCGTGGAGAACCAGTACCGGCTCACTTCTGTGTACGCCGAGCATATGGAGGATTCATTACTGTTCAAGGTAAATTGATATGCAAACGTATTTGTTACTACATGACCCATGCAGTCTGTATTTCCCATACAGAAATGTGTTTACGTTTGGACACATTGTCATGAAGTGCAAGGGATATGTACTTGCAAACTAGAAGAAAAGTAGATAGTACAGAAGGAAACTAGGAAAGTACACTTAAACTTTATTGAATCTCTGTTGTAGTTTTGCAGTTAGTTTGAATGTTGATTTTATGGTCACTTGATTATTTTAGGGGTTCTGTCTAAGCCGAGCAGATGTTACAGATAAAACATACGAGCAATCAAAGGCTTTATGCTGAGTTTTTGTTCAATTATAAAACAATGACATTAACATCAATGAACTTTTGAATGACTTTGAAGGGCTTCCTTGGCGAAACTAGGGGTTTTCAGAAAAGAAAGACATGTTAGTTAGAGCCTGAAGTTTCGTACCCACAGTTGGCGGTTTGTTGTTCGACTCACAATTCTGAGAAGCGTGAAAATTGAAAGAGGGACTTTAAAACCCAAGGCCGAGGTCAGACATCTGAAGAACTGCTGTTGTGTTTAACCTCATCTGAACCAGCTCAGCAGCTCCTCCAGCCTCAGGTGCATCTGAGTCTCCACAGGAGGTCATATCCTCTTCAGTCAGTGACTGCATTTGCTGAGGTGGGTGCAGATGAAGGCGTACCAAGAATATAGGAAATTGGTGTTTTTACTTTAACAGCAGGAAGTAGAGAAAAACAGTGACCTAGAATAACTCTTAATCAAGGAAATTGCTGCGAGTACACTTCTTCTGGTAACAAGTACGCTAGTTGAGTGTCAGCCCCTGAGATGTGACTTCACTGTATACTTTCAGTTGATTAAGTAAGACTGGAGTGTTTTGAATATTTATTGATGAGCCCAGTTCAGGTAACACTTGAACGTGCAGACAGATTGCACAGTATATGAGTGTAAATCAAATGAATGTTTTCATAATGCTTTGAAATACACCCTTGTGCATTTGTTTTACTTTATAGTGCACTTTTGTTTATTGTTGCATGTCTAAATTGCTTTTTTATTTTTATATTACTGACTGTTTGCTTCAGTGATTTCTTAAAACTTGAGGCAATGTTTACTTCAAAATTCTAGACTACATTCCATTTTTTAACTTACTTAAAGGAATAATGGTAACACTTTACAATAAGGGTACATGAATAATCATGTACTAATGCCTAAATTAATACTTTATTCATCAAATACTAATGATTAGTAAAGGTGTTAACTAATCATGAATTAATGAATTCATCCCCACAGCCGATGCAATCCGACGGGACTCGGGCAGAAATCATGTTCATGGATGAGCTAATGATTTATTAACGTAGTAGAATGAAGCAGGGTGAGGCTGAAAGCCGTCGAAGTGAAACGAGGCCGCTGAATGAGCGTGACACACGGCTCGAAAGCAGCGGAGCTTTTATTATGCCACAGTCGAGCGCTTCCGCTGCTTCCGGTCGTGCGTATGTGGGGTAAAGCAGTGCTGTTTTATCATACTAGATACATTTGAAAGTTCTGTTATTATGCTACTCTGTGCGGTCGTCACCTGTCTATTAAAGCAACAAACATATTAAAGCGTCTTTGGTGTTTCCATGTTTTCTACAAAACAAAACCGGAAATCGAGGGGTTATGACGTCATTGGCAGGCGACACAATGACACTATGGACACGGTAAGAAAAATCTTACCGTGATGAAAAAAAATAAATCTTACATATTGTGTCTTTAATGCATTAATTAACATTCATGGGTAAACTAAATCAAACAGCCTTTTTAAGAAATAATAAGAAATACTCTGGCTTTGAAATAAATTAAAAGAATTTAATATCATAATTTGAGCTTTTGACATCTTCAGCTTTGTTACTGATCTTGTCTGTTTTGTGTTGTTCTCTTTCCCTTTAAACTCACCCTGCTGTGACTTATAAACAGCTAAATAAAAATAAAACCTCAAAATCCACAAAGAGCATTTGTAGAACAATCCTAAATAAATGCCCAAACTGGAAACAGTTCACTGTCCATCCAGACGCAGGCCGTGATGATACTGTACCTCCGCTCTCTGACTTCTTGAAAATCCACACCACATCTCTTACTAAATACTCGCTGTGTTAGTACATGTGTATTTGATAGTAAGTATAAAATAAATCATGAGCTGTGTTTAGTAAGTAGTTAACTGTGAGTTAATTATGATTGGGCCCCCTCAAGTAAAGTCATGTTACAATTTTAACCAAAGACTTTTCATTAAGACCTTAAAGAATCATATCAACTTGTGGAAAATGGGCATTTTCTTACCCTTGGGCCATCCAAGATGTAGACGAGTTAGTTTCTTTTATTAGAAACGATTTGGAGAAATTTAGCATTACATCACTTGTTCACCAGTGGATCCTCTGCAGTGAATATTTTGTTTAAAACTGTTTTGGGCTGTTGAATTTGAATTACGCACACGGTATGAATTTTAAAAAAAACGGCATACCAGTCCAAGTGGCTAAGCAACGTAGACCGCACCGTGAATTGAGAGGCACAGTCAGTGGGAAAACCATGATAAACCGTAAAACCATCAGAATCCTAAAAGATAAAAAAGTGAGACAGATTTTTGGTCAAATCGCCACTATGGTCGCAAGTTCCATCGTTACCAATAGAGTTCAATGGAACTTACCACCATAGTTAGTTAACGATGCTTTTGGGAAACGCACCCCAGCACGGTTAATGTTAATTCCTAAATATACTATTGTTTATTCATAATACATCACCTAATGTTAATTTATACAATGTGAATATTCAAAAATTAATATAAACTAATAAATTCTGTAGAAGTATTGTTAATTGTAGAGTGTTTAGTATATTACTTTTTACTGTGGTATCAAATGATTGAGAATCATCAAATTTCACTGGGGAAAAGTTAGTATTTCATGTTCATTAGGTTTTTTTTTTTACTGTTCAGTGCACAATAGTTTTGTTTTTCGCCATACAGTTTGCACTTTAATGTGCATCCACTTGATTTAAGATGGTAATCATCCTTCTTTTAATGCAAATGAGAATAACTTTGTTCTTATTTTGGACAGGCCTGTATATGATAAACCAAGTGTTATTAATGCAATATATCTGATGAAAAATACATATTTAGTGTAAAACCGCATGCTCTTACAATGGCGTACCTGCAAAATGTAATTTATCTTTCTTAATTAATGCTCTTCTTTTGTGGGTTGGAGACATGTTCAGTAATCCCTTATAGACACACACATGCACACACACTGCAGTAATTGGATTTAAGTTTTTGTTATTTGATCGGTACTTTCCTCAGGCTGTTTAATTAGAGCTGCAGTAAAGCTTCAGTGCATCTGCATTCTGCTGTTATTATTGCTGTGTGAGTGCAAGCATTTACTCACGTTTGTGTGTGCGTCTGGGTGTGTTGGGGTAATTTAATACACATTATTTATGTGCTAAGGAAATAATTTGCTCTTTTTTACATTCTATGTATGTAGCCACTTCTGATTGTCTTGCTGGTTTAGCATTATTTTATTTTATTTTTTTATATTTTAGATTTGATTATCAAATGATTTCATCTGTTTATTTATTCATTGCAAGTAAATACTAGAAAGTTTCTAAAATAATAATGTTTAGACAGATGCTCAGCCCTATCAAGAACTTAAAACTAAAAGCATTTAAAATGGTGGATTTAAATGTCAGTCAAGAATGTCTGAAAGAACTGAAGTGTCTACAGTACAGGCAGCACAAGTTGACTCCTCTGAAGCACTCCAGTAGTTCTCTCTGTGTGAATGTGTATTGAACTGCATGTGCTTTAGTGTTAAACTGACTGAAAAGTGAAAAGACCGCAAGAGTGATGGATGTATCTGTATGATTAGACTCTGATCTAATCTTAAATGACTCATTGTGCTTCGGTTGTGATCTGACTTTTGCATCAAGGAAAAAAAAAAAAAGATGTTTCGTTACTCTAATCATTAGAGTAACGAAATATCTTTTTTTTTTTTCTTGATGCAAAAGCCAGCTCACAACCGAAGCACAATGAGTAATTTAAGCGCCTTTATTAAAGGTGAAGTGTGTCAGTTTTTTTTATGTTGAATTGGTGTAAAATACTACTTATATCCCAGTTTAATGTGAAGAGACTATTAAGCAAGCCATTTGTAGGCTGATTTTCCTGAAGAATATAAACACTGGCGCTTTGCACAGATGGGCACAATTACATCAAAAAGTTTAAAAAAATGTAGTTACAAATTACAAATACAACAAGCTCATCAAATGTAAATTAAAATACAAAAATACTGGTGTGAGAAATGTATTTAATTAAAATGCAAGTAATTTGTAATTTGAAAATACAAAAATACAATCAATATTTACAAGCAATCAAGTGCAAGAGACAGTGCCATTACATTTACAGGGCTGTACAGTGCGACGTATATGTATTATATTGTATGTGCTTTAAAGCCTTGCTGGTTAAACATTTCATTCACGCACTGTTCCGACATGTGCTTTTTCTCAGCGCATACACCTGAAGCGCGCGCACAAAAGCCTGTCAAACAGCGCCTAATTACTGGACTAAGTTGGCTTTCGTATCTGATTAATTTAGCGTCTAATACTGTCAAAAACGCACAGTAGCTGGTCCCCATAATTGACTTTGATAGTAGGAAAAAAATACTATAGAAGTAACTGGGAACAAACTGCTTGCTTACCCACATTCTTCAAAAAAAACATTTATGTTCAGCGGAAAAAAGAAACTCAGATAACATAATGACAAGGATTTTTATCTTTGCCCATGCACTTTGGCCTAAATGTCTGCCATTTTC